TAAACTGTTTTTTATGAGCCTGTTTGTTTATATTGTATTGCAGTTAAATAAAAACCAATGAATGGGTTTCTGCTGCCCCCTACTGGACACCATCACACATTACAGATTCTTGATCTGATTTAACATTTAAATGTTTATTAGTATTTTTCACAGTTGTTTACTTACACAACGTACATGAACCTTTGCTTAGGAGCCATTTCTCCATCTGATATCAGAGATCTGATTGTTCCTTATGTTCCTAACAGAGCACTTCGCTCTCAATCTGCAGGTTTACTAGTGGTTCCTAGAATTTCTAAAAGTAGAATGGGAGGCAGATCTTTTAGTTCTCAGGCTCCTCTCCTGTGGAACCAACTACCAGTTTTAGTCCGTCTAGTTAAACTGGTCTATTTTAGTTGAACTAGTCTAATCAGGTTTACTATATTACCCTTGTTTTGCTTATCTTCTTTACTGGTGTAATCTAGTTAAATTCAATCTAGCTTCATCATTAATTTTGGTCCTTAAGCTCCCATTTCACTTTTTTTTTTCTTTCTTATTCATCCTTTTTTTAAATGTTTTTACGTGTTTATTTTGCTTGTTTGTCTCGTATGCTGCTGAAACCAGTTGGCCCTGGTGGGATTAATAAAGTCGTCGACATCTTAAAAGAAACCGGAGCAGGACAGAAGTTGCTATGTAATCAGAGATGAAACCAATGATTATGTTTATTTTATTAATGAATTCATGAACATGATGCATCATCCTCTGCCTATAAAATGCAATTGTTTACATTTCCAAGCTTTTAAAGTCACTTCATTCACCTGCAGGTTGTAGACGAAGGCCAGGCGAGCAGCGTCAGCTCCAGAAAACAAGCCTGTTTATGACAAACAGCAGCTGCCTGGAAGTCACACAGCTGGATTTAAGCCTCGCCCAGACTGACGTTCACCTGGACTGAAACATTTAGTCATTTAACCAGGAGAGGAAACCAAACAGCGCTGTTTCTTTGTGCAGAACCACCTATTCAGGCTGAGGGAAGGCAGCTCTGGAGAAGAAAGCTTTCTGATAATCAGCCGTCTCCTCTGCATCCCTTCCCTTCATGCAGCTGTTCAAACAAACATGATAAGCTTTAATCATCACTGGAAAGACTCACACTCTGGTCAGGTGATGCACATATTTCTGGTATAAATCACTGAGGGTTTAACCAAAGGAGCACATCAGGCAACTCTTCAAAAAATGCTTTTTTTCTGCTATATACACTTTTTTATATTGTCTGTTCCATTTATATCTTTAATGGCATCTTGCTTTAACTCTTTGTGCTCTATATAAGCTACTGGAACCAGAATTTCCCTGAAGGAGTAATCCTACAGGATAAATAAATTTGAGTCCAAGTTTAAGTCTAAGGTTGATGCTAAATGCATGAGTAAAGTTTGCAATGATAAAGACCAAGAATTCACTGACGGTGGATGATTTCCTCCAGAAAAGTGCTGGTTTAGTTTTTATTCTGGATGATCCTTGCTGCTGCTGTGCTGCTTTGCTCTGACGCTCCCAGGCTGCAGCTCAGACTTTCTGGGGGCCGAAAGACGTTGGCTGAAATCAATATAGGCACTTTTCCTCCTGCCGTCCTCCAGCTTCTGCTCCGACGCACACAGACTTTGTCCACATTACTGCTGAGATAATAAAAGATAACAAGTAAAAGTCAAACAACATATATTTCACCTTTTTTTAAATTAAATATGCCTGTTTTTAACCATGAAAACAGATTCAAATTTCACCTTTCTATAGATTTTCTCTTCACGATTGAAGGGAAAAAACCTGACAAAACTAAACATTTTATATAATTCTTTAAAAATAAAAATGATTTAAAATAATTTTTTTAAATAATATATGATAGAAGAGATTAAAAATCTAAAATAAATCAATTTAACAAGCACACCTGCTTTTACAATTGTATGTAATCTGGTAGTTTCTAATTGATTCATTAAGTTTTATATTTTCAGTCATGTTGATCACATAATAGATTTATTACCTGCTGATTTATTTTTATAAAAATAATGACATATAATATAAAAAAACAATGTTTATATAGTGAAATAAAATAGGAAAAAAACTATAAATAAAATTAAAGGATCATAAAGGTAAGACGCTGTTAATTAATTGTAAATCTTTATTTTTATAGTTACGAAAGAACGATTCAGAGCAGTTAGCTAACAGTGAATAACTTTATTTACGCTCAGTTAATAATTTACTCGCAATTTGAATGTTTGTCTTCTCAGATGCGTCCATTGTTTGTAAATGGAATCAAAATTACACAACAGCTTACTTAACGTTTTTTTTTTTTTATGTTGTGCTTCTCTTCTTCCTGCTTTACGTCTCTAAAGTCTGAATGTTTCCATAGAAACCAACACAAACAGCCAAGAGGCTTTTATTTTCTTAACAAAGAGAATAAACAATATCAAGCGAGAGCTACTTCCGGTAACGCTTTGAGCTAGCCAAAGGGCTAAAGTTAGCCTCCATTAGCTGCTAACAGCTGTTTACTGGAAAAGTTAAAACTAACCTGGAGTTCATACTATTTAGTTCTTTTCTTACTATTATTTTCCTCCGTTTTAGCATCGAGTTTAATTAAAGGGTAAGAGAGAATAAAGCTACGATAAATGTAGGCTAGAAGTGTGTGTTGTCTAATAATTTAAGCTAAGAAGTCGGTTTAATGAGATAAAGTGGCCTTTTGTGAATGTATATGGTTAATGGTTTTTTAAAAACACTCAGTCCTACA